TTTTCATAAGAAAATAAGAAACAAAATACAAATTAAAATGTTTTGGAAGAACTTTAATTAAGGGTTTTATTGATTATTTGCTTATTATTTAGATACAGATCAGCGATTATATTTTTCAATACTTTAAAATATTATCTTAGATATTACTAATCTTACAACATTCGATATAATCAGGGCCGGCCCAAACAAAAATAGTGCACTAGGCAAAATCAAATTTTGCGGCCTCTAAAAAAAAAAATTGAGCTCTTATTTTAACTTAACCCTTCCACCTATTTTTATATGACATATCTACTTAAAAAAATTTTAATTTTTTTTTTTATGGATAAAATTATATGTAAAAAGACTTAAAAATGATTTCTATTACTATCACTCAAAACCCATCACTACCGCAACTATCGGATATGTGGTTATTTATGTTTTTTGAATAATTGAAAATGCCCAGCGTAGGCCATAATATAAAGTAATATAATAACTTTAGACAATATTATTTTATTATATAGGTAAGTGGTTTTCACGAATGAATTCATTTAAATATGTTTTTTATAAAACACCAATAGAACTAAAAAAATGTTTGGTTCAATTTTGAAAATGCTGCCCCTACTAACGTGCAGGTGCCTAGATCGCCTATACCTTAAAATGGCCCTGGATACAATAACAGTATTTTAGAAGCAAGGACAGATCCAGGGGGAGGTTACTGGGGAAAAGTGCCACTCACGTTGGAAAAAAATGATATTAAAAATAAAGTATTTTTAGAATAATTAATAGTTAATAATAATATTATAAAAATAAATGACAGCTTTAGTAAAATATTATCACATTCTTTGAGCCCTCTTTAATCTTAAAGTATATATTAATCTTTAAATATGTACCTCTCTACATACGCCGATGATCAGCAATATTAAATAATTTCTCTTATAAAGTGTCCCGACCGTAAATAGATGCTTAGAATCACCATAAAACCCTTAAAAATTGTTGTTATTTGGGTTTAATTTATCTTTTGTGCCATGTAAGATTATTATTAAAAAATAATAGTATTAATAATAATCTTTTGAAACCTTAAGTCCCAAATTAAGCTACTCAAACTTTAAAAACTCATTTAAATATATTCAAATATGGAAAGAAAGTTCATTCACGAATTTCTTAGGATATTTTCTGAACCCACAAGTAAAAACTTAATTTAGCATTTATAATACATTAAATGATGCATGTTAAATATAGTAAATAAAAATAAATATGGGACCTAATCGCCTAAATAATAAATTTATACAAAATGTTTGAAACATTTAATAAAATCAATAATGGGGCTTACTTTAATATGTTCTCAATCAATAACGACAAAAAAATTTAAAGTTTCTATTTCAAAGACGCACTTACTCATTTTTTTGAAAATTGTTTATTAAACATACAATAACTTTATATAACTCAAGTTTCATAGACAAATTATTTGTATTATAATTATCTACTGTCGTTGGTATCCATTGTTACGATGTGTACCTACATTTGTGCTAATAATGAATAGGCATGTTTAATAAACTAATAGCTCAACTATGAATAAATATAAATATAAAAAAAAACAAAACTAAAACATACATGTAATTATATTAACTAGCCAAGAAATATACAAACTGTCACTAGTAACTTAAAGTAATAAACACTGTTATTATTACCATAGTTATACATGTATATATTATGTGTTTATTTTTTTATGTTTAATATATTTATTAATTTGACTTATTCAATACCACGAGTCAAATAATAATTTTTATAAATTATTAATGCTGAAAATAATTGTTATCATATTTTTTCCAATAATGTTAATAATTTTGGATAAAAATATAAAATGTTCAATTGTTTTTGAACTCGTATAGAACTGAACATGTATTATATATAGTTAAAATTTTTAATTGAAAAACTCGGTATAAAAATAAAAATAAACAAAGCATTAATTGTAAAACTGATTTAGATATTAATTTTATACAATATTAAGATACTTACCAGTAATATACTTCAACATTTTATTTCATACAAATTGTGTTTCCTACTTCAAGAAACCTATGAGTGCTTTACTTTAGTTTACTTATGTAGTTTGTGAACCGTGGATATTTAGGATATTTGTTTATAAATCTTAGGTACTTATTCCTAACTAAGTATAGGGTGGTTCGTTCATTTAAGGTATATAATAATCGTAAACACATTATAATAGGATAAGTACCCAAATATTAAACCCTGTTTAACATTATTTTAGGAATGAAATTTGTTGAGAAACAATACGACTTAGGTAGATTATTTTCGATTGTATTTCTGGAAATTATTTGTTTTACTATGTAATTTATATAATTAAATTTTTGATTCTTGGAAAAGAACAACTAAATGTTCATATATATGTACGATTGGCCGCGTTTGTATTGAATAATATAACTACGTAACAACTTATGTGGTACTGTATAATAATATTGAAACGTGATTTTGTTTAATTATTTTAATCATTCCCATACATTTAGCATACAATTAAACGCTTTAACTTTTATCATACAAACGTCGTTCAAAATAAATAACGTCTATAACATACACACATATCCTATCAGTTATTTTAACTCGGAAAGTAATATAAATTTACTTCATTCATACCTATTAAGATTACACTAATGTACAATCAATGTCAACAAAATATTATCGATTGACAAATTTCACCGTAATATACGTGTAGGTATACAGTACATATTCAACATTTATATCATCTCCAATTGGTGTCGCTATTGCAATATTTGTTATCCTAATGGATAAATATACTGTGAACGTATTCTAGTTTGCCCAGGTGTCCGGGTCGTAGAAATGTTCTCACCGATAACGCTACACCGACGAGCTTACTCAATTAGTTCTCTGCCACCGGCGACAATCATTTAACGTGGCGTTGCCGCCAACATAAACTACACAAAATAAGTAAAAAATACATACGTGTGTATACGACGGACCCGGACATTTAACCTGCCGAACAATTCGCCGCGACCATTTCACCGCCGGACTACTCGCTATTGGGCTATTCGCTGCGGAGAGAACCTCTCCACGAAATATTATTATTACCAATAATGTAGTAATCATTAAAGAATGATAAACAACAGTACTAAGGTTATGATATTTTTTCAATCCTCACCACCCGACTTTTTGCATGTGTTCATCCCTGATTGATACACTTTAAGTGGTGAAACATACATTTTGATATGTTCCTCAATTTATATTAAGTAAATTTTAATACCTCCAGGGCCCCACAATAGAATTTGCTGCTTTGATTTCCGTTTGTCTATAAGCAGCTATGCGCTATGCTAAACGGTGCGACGGCAAAAGGGTCTGCGGCGATAGACCCTGTACACGAGTCTTTACTTCTGCCGCGCCGGTACTTATACTAATAGTACCTACATGTACGAGTGACATCATTGAAGTTTTTTAACTCATCAAACAGATAGTAATAATATGCATTATAATATTTATGTGAAGATGTTTTTATGACGCTCAGACGTCACGGTGAAAATATTACACGTGGATGGTTGGTGTGGTTGGATATAGACATGTATAAATTTTGGATGAACTCATGCTTAGCAAATTTCCAAGTTTAAACATATCACCAATACAAAACACGAGTGCAGCGGAATATACGATTGTCGATTAAAAATTAAAATCAATATTCTATGTTTTTATTTCAGTACAACAAAAAAGAGGGAAAAGTCTCTTAGAATTTTCTAATCTTAAGTTTAAGTTGGTAAAATGTAAATAGACAGGTACTTCAGTCTTTAACAGTTTTAGTTTTTTTCAAATTATCTTTTTGAAATAATTTCAAGGATGGTGCATTAGAGAAATAAATGGGTGGGTAGGTACTGAAATATAAGTTGCGTATTATGGTTTATAAATGTTCAATGAGAAGATGTATAGTATAACACATCATACGATATTGTTGCGTCACAAGGACCTACATTCGTGTATAATACGTGCATAAAATTTTTCTTCGAAAATGTTATCTTAAATTAAATTACCATATTACACGCGCAATCGGAACAATAAAAGTTCAACACTAGCGACAAATGGCACGCGTAAATAATTATTTCATAGCGGGTTTTGTGAAAGAATATTTTGACAGTACATTTTATAGGTGTAAGTAATCATTGTACATACTATAAAATCCGCAAGAAGCTACGATCAATTGCACTGAAGTTACCCAAGAAAAAGTTGGAAGTCTAGTTGAACCATTTCCATGAGTAAAATGTTGTAAATTCTAATAGAGCAATAGATATTTTATGTGCAAGTATCTATATTAAGTATTCATAATGTTTTTTACAACCAACGTGAAATAAGATAGTCAATTAGGTATATATTCTTATTAATCAAATCCAAATTATTTTCTTTAAAACTGTTTACAAAGGTTAAACTTTAAAATTTGTAAATTGTGTTTTTATTTTGAACATTATTTAAGTCCACAAACGAGAAGCATAACAATTTATTTGTCTACGTCACGCGAAATTATATAAATACATACATGTGCAACTGCTAATAGTAAGCTATTTAATTATTAGTAAACGATTTGTTTTTAATAAATCAAACCTAATTTTTTAGAAATAATATTTATATAAGCATGGATCATGTGATTTTAATATTATTTCATTGTAAGAAAAAATTATAATTATTGGTTTTTCCTAATCTGTATAATGAATGGAAATAAAATTGTGCGAAAGTGAGACACAGAAATTAATTTTCCACGGTCATTCAAAATATACTTAGTATATTTGATCAATCGTTTTTTGTAGATAAAAATTATAAATAATTATATAAATAATTAGATCCATCAGTAAAAATAAGCACAAGTCGTTGAAAAATGGAAAATGTCACTATTGTGATCGACGTTCAAGTATTTGATATTTGACCTATACGCTTAATAACCTAGTGTACTTTTCATCCCATCTACTTTTTTAATTTTTTTTTAGATCTTAAAATAATTACAAAAATTATCTTACCTGTGTGCCGCCACGTACATTTTGAAGTACACCAATATTAGCGTAACACAAGGCGCTAAAAATGCGATCAGTAATAACACCAGACCATGTGTTTTTTCCATCGTCCCCATGGGAAATTTCTCGTAAATTAGTAAGTCCTTAAATAACATTGGTGAGGCCAACGCTGCTGATATACTCCACACAGTGCCTATGACTGAAAAGTAATTTAAAATTAAAAACATTTTTGATAATTCTATCTTACGAAAAAACCTTAATGATTAAAATATGTATCCCGATACAAACTTTCACTTAACGATTCAGTTTATTAAATTAAATAATCAAACTACAAATACAAAATCGGACTCATATTACTCTACTGTACTTATATTAAATTTATTATTAAATAGAGATTTAATTCGTCATATTTGTCTTATCCAGTTGTAAAATATTTTTCATTGATAGTCGATTATCATCAAACTCAATTATATTAATACAGTGATCTGTTTCTAAGCAACCATTATTTGTAACATTATTTTGCAACGATTTTAACCAAAGACGATTTATTTTAAAACTTATCACTATTTTAACAGATGTTTAAAAGCAATGCAACTGTATTTTAAAACAATTATTTTCATAGTAATAAAGACAAAAATATATTAACTATATATATATATATATCTATTTATATGATGCTGAGAAAGGTTAAAGATATTTGCCGCAATTTGATGTACAAAATGATACTTTTATTGTTAAAAATAATTAACATACAATTGTTTTTAAAATGTTCCAAATTGAAGTATAATTTTTTAGTATAATTATGATTAACTGAAACTTGTATTCGTAGTAACAATTGATACGATCTTTAAAATCTTATGTACTGAAATGATTTTAAAAGTATTATTTCATCTATACATACATATCGATAATCAGGCAGTTAATTATTTTTTATATTTTAACATTTACCTAATTCGTAACTTTTTTTTAATTCATCATACATATTTTAATTAAAGAAAAACAAATAATTTTTAATTAAAAAAAACCCTTTTATTTTCATTAAAATAAATTCCATATGAAATTTATAAATAATCACTAAGCATTAATATCACAAGATGAAAGCAAATTGTACAACTTGAATTAGTTATGTAGCAAAATATATATTAAGAAATATATTTTAATCAACTATATTCTAAAACCATTTTATTATATTATAATTTAATTGGATCCGACATAAAAAATGTCATTAGATGTACTTTATACGTTGATCCAATGTGTATATTATTCTTAAAAGTTTTAATGAGGAAGTTTACATATTGATAGTTTCAGAAAATTAAAATATATAGTGAAATTGTACGATTTCTAGTTATAACACAACACAACTTTGTTATAAAAAAAAAACTAATTATATTCTTAAAAGTTGTCATTTTTTAGTTTTGTTCTACCTACAACTATTGGAAATCTTAAAATTTAATTCTATCTATCAATTCAAAGCCCAATAAAGATTAAAATATTTTGCCAATAAAAAAAAAAAAATTACATATATTTGTTTTTAAAAAAACATTGTTAAACATATCGCCATTTTTTTTTCACTCAAAATCTATTATATAATAATGATACTCAAACAGTAATATATTGTAATATAAGACTTAAGTTCTTTCTACAATCATCAGGGCCAACTTCAAAATAAATTAAATCTGATGATAGTATAGTGATTCTTTAAAAATGTAATTAATTTAATTATGCATTTTAAATTCTAAGTAGCTGACAATAATCAAATTGAGGTTATCTTTTTTATTTTTTTAAAAACGATACCAACGAACAAACAGTCGAAAAATAAACATCTGGTTTTACAAATAAATTTAGAATTTTTTTGATCTCTGCTAAGAATTAAATTTATTGAATTTTGTTATCGTCTTCAAATTTAAAATAATGATATTATATTCTTTGCTGTCGTATGTGAAGCAAGAAAAGTACTATTTATGTACTTGATTGCTATACATTTTCATTATAACTATAATTATAGAGAATTCAACGTTCTTGTTTTATAAATATGATAATAGTAAAATGGATATATGTTGACTTTTATTCTCTTTAATTTCCTCATATTTCATAATATTAGATGTCACAAAATGAATAAGCTACTTGATAAAAGTAAACAAAATTAATTTTATATCTCATTAAATTAATTTCTTCGAAATTTTTGCATTTGATCATGATGTTTGATAAAAAATTAAATATTTTCATACATTTAAGCTCAGTATTTCACTATACATTTTCAAAATACGTAATCGTCTAAATTAAACAAATTAGAGGACATACATTAACAAAAAAAAACATATCAAAATATAATAACATAAAAAATGTTTACCTAATATATGTTTCAGTGTAAAAGTGTCTGAATTCCAATTTCAATTATTATTATACGCAATGATAAAAAAAATAGTTTTCATCATTTGAGTTTAATAAATTATTATTTTAAAAACTTTTCTGAAATTATAATTAGCTTTTTCTTTTTTTTTGTATAAACTGCTTTGCATACGTGTCATTATACATCGTATGCCTAAAAAATATTTTTATAATAGGTAATAATTATAATATTATTAATGTCGGACAAGGTCGGGATTAATTATAAATACCTCCACACAGAAAAACGGAACACAATATAATGATGCTATTTAAATCTGGTAAATAACTTTTTAAACATATGAAATACCAAATTCATTAGATCTGTTTTCAGATATACATTTATGACTAATAAATCATTTAACCATGATAGTATCTTCAATTTTTTAGAGATTAAAAATGCAATTTCTGTTATGAACTTAATTTTATATTACAGTTAAAATATTTATCCATATTTTTTTATTATTATTATATTTTTTATACATATATAATATATTGAACATTATTGTGGTTTATTTAGCGTTCTAAAACTGAAAAATAAGTCGAAAAATTAATTAAAATTATTTATGTATAGCTAAGAAAACTACATTATTGATTGATTTATTTTTGTTTTTATAAAATTAACTACATAATAATAAATATTCAGAAAGTATGATGGCAAGCTTAAAGGAAGTAAAATTGAATATTTTCTCACTGTTTCTAAATCTGGAATAATTTTAAAAGTATTTTTAAATTTACTATCAAACCTTTGTTAGTGCATGGAATACGATTACCTATTTATATTTTGTGAATGATATTATATCATATCGATTAAAGTCGATTAAACTAAATTACGAAAATAAATAACTATTTTTATCAAATGACCTTAATGTTCACACTAGTTGTTCTATTTGAAGTCACTTAAGACTTTTCAGCTTCGATGAAATCACTTTATACTTATCTATTTATTGTATTGTATTACAATTTAAATGAATTATGTAGTATACTATTTTTAATACACGCTTTAAAATAACTGTGCATTATTATTTTAATTTCCCCGTTAGAAATTCCTATTTTCGAATTTTTGAATGTAATATTTAAATTTTTGAAAATTAATTAAAGTAATTAAATAATATTTATTTCTTTAATGAACATAAAAACGATTGATAATAAAATAAGTAACAGACAAATAATTCATGGAAATTAAATAAATCTTCTTAGAATTTTGTTTTATAACTTCTTAGGTAGCAAGTGTCAACATTGGCAAACATTTAACCCCGTTATATTAAAATTATATTGTATATTCACATGCCAAGTACATGCATGTCTAATATATTACATAGGTTTTGAAATAAAGGGTATGCAACTAATAGATAAAAACTCAATATATTTAAATCGACGCATCATTGAAATCCTGTACAAATTGCTTATAGATAAATAATGGGATAGATGTACGTACCTAAAACACTTTTTTGCCTTGTGACATTGGTAGCGTAATGCAACGGACTTAATACTGCCGTATATCTGTCCATAGCTATAACCAATATTGAAAATATTGTTGATGTTGCCACAAATACGATCAAAGCTTTATTGATGGTTTTTATACCGGATACAAATAAAGGACCAAGAACAGTCGACGACAGTAAGTCGGATGCAATTAAACTACCGACAAATCTGAAATAATATTTTTAAAAAATTGTCAGTAAGAAATAAATAATTCATAGTCACCGTTAATAATATTATAATAATAACTGGTAAACATAAAGTAAAATAAATAATAATACTAAACAAACCGTTTGAATATATCTCAATATACGTAACTCTAAATTATTGTCAAAAAATAAAAACGCTTATTTTAAGACAAATATATACGGATAAAACTATTAAATCTTTCCTCAGACATTACAAATTAAATAAGCATAAATACAACTAAAACATATTATAGAACATTATATAATTGTAAATAACATTATTTTCTACTGAAGATATATAATGTTTTTTTTTTAATCAATTCTAAAAAGTTTTCCTATGAACTTGTAAATTTTATAATTTAATAGCTTATAAATAAATATAATTTTTAAACACATCGTTAAAAAATAAATGAAAATTAATATTACCTTTATTATTTTATTATTATCATATTATTTCAAAGTTATGTCAATATAATAATAATGTTTAATAATAAACCATATACATTTATATTGTATAGTCATCAAACAATTTTTAACTAATACATCTTAATTTTCTTTCCAAAAATTTTAAAATTTAGATAAAATGTATACAATATATAGTAGTTGTCCTTCAATAAGGTTTTTAATGCAGCTGGGTTAGCGATCAAAGCATACATTACATCAATTTTTGATATCAATTCAAAATAAGAATCTGCATGTATTGATATACGTATAGATGGTTAATATAAATCTTTCGTCATCTAGAACACAAGTTTTTCTGAACAGATCTTACAAATTAAGAGATCAAATAGAGGAAAGATCATCATTATTTGATGGTGATTACATGGTTTTTATTTATAAAATTGTATGATAGTAAAAAGATTTAAGCGGAAGCGTGATCTGTGTCCGACCTCACAAAAGCCAGTCTCTTATTTCGTATTACTCGTAAAATCAGCAAAAGCAATACCGCCCACGAAACCAAAATGGATGAGGAAATATAATTATACGTAATCAAATAAATATATAAAACCATATTTAATAATAAAATACAATATTGAGTGTAGGTGCAGGTAACCTGTTAGAGGTAGAAACAGCTACACATCAAATAATAAACAGCAGATATGGCAGCCATATAACTAACTAACTAACTGGTGACTATACTGCGATGCGGAAGGCAAATAGAAAACCACAGCATTAACATTCCTAAGTAAAAGCAATGGCTGCAAACCAATCATTAGATTGAATACTGCAAGTGAAGAGAAAATAATAAAATTGCAAAAATATTGCATTTCTTTCTCAAACTGAGTTGTATACTAATAAACAGATTATGTTTGTTATGTTAAATTATTTGGGCATAATATACGATATATATTTTTAACCCGTGCATTTAAATTCCAATAAATAAATATTATAAATAAATTTACTTCCAATAAATAAACATAAATAGATAAAAACTAGAATAAACAGGACTTTACATTTTTTTAAAGAACTTAATATTTAAAAGTTAAAGATTATGGTAAGTATTAAGATAAACTAAATATTTTGGTGACATCTTAATAGTCACACATGAAATTAATTTTTTCATTGAAATAAAAAACAACTCTTTTTGGTCGTCTGTAAGTTTTTTGGTAATGGCAGTCACTGAAGTATACTTTTCTCTTTTTGATAAACTCCGTTTCTTTCACTGTTTTTAAATTACAATGCTTCTCGAGTGTTTAACTTCTATCTGATTTTATTAAATTTCTAATATTTCAAATAGTTACTAAAACGTATTGTATAACAAACCAATTTAGAATCATATCGTTTATTTAATAATAATTTAAATAAATAATTTTGAATATGAAAACCTTTAAATGACATTGATACTATATATTTATAATTAATTCGTTAAAATGTATATTAGATTACAACACTAGCTTTTAAAAACAAAGAATGGAAAGGAATTATATTTTTATAAAAATAATTTACGACTAAAATATAATAAATCATAAATATTTTTAACTTATAAATTATAATTGTGGTGTTCAAAGCTAACGATTATAGATATATTAACACACAAACACATCAATTAATTGCATATATATTTAACTGATATTTTTAATGACAATATACACATTATATAAAACCATAAACAAGTTATTATTTCTAAGACTAATTAATTAAAACGATCATTATAATATACGCTACTATACAGTAAGCACTTTAACTAATTAAACTATAAAATGTTAGCTTGATAATGAACCCTAGAATAGGTTTGTTTGTATGTGTGTAGTTAAAATAACAATTGAAAAAATAAGCAACTTGACCTGTTTGAAGGAGATCTGAGTGAAGGCTTCTTATAAAACATAACTACAACGACAATGTTGAAAAATGCTCCAAGTACTGCTAAAAATCCGATGCACGTAATTTTGACCACTGTAACAAACGCATAAAAAGTAATAATAATAATTGGATTTGTTTTATGTTGATTTTAATCATTACAATAACAACATTCAAATGGAAAATAAAAAAATCCTGTGTTTAAAATACGCTTCTGATGAGGACAGTCCAATGGTTATTTATTGCCAACAAATACTACTCAGTGGTTTGTTTAAATATATAGTATCATGATCCTTAGTCTAAAATGCATAACGATTCTATTGACTCAGAAACCAATAAAAAAAAAATTAAAAAAATGATTTTACTTGATATGTAATATATACCGTTCATCAAAAATTAATTCTGAGGGTGTGATACACTTATAATTATATAATATGCTATATATTTGATAGTATAGTTGCGGAAAACAAGAAAAAATGAATCTGGACAAACCAGTAAAATTAGCGTTCATCGAACTATCGTATCGACCGGTGAGTAAAATAAATAGGAAACATTGAAAGTGAAATCCATCGGCCCAGGACCCGGTACCCGAAAGCGCCGCGAAAGTTTTGCCGCGTCAAGAAGCAGGTTCAACCGTAGTGCACAGGCCAAGGGACAATTCACAAATCAGTGTTTATCTCTGAAGACCGAAAACTATAACTCGGCAATACCATTCCCGCTGCCCGAGATGCGATTAATTCACATCGACTAACTAAAACAACGTTGATGAACTTTGAAGCACCTGACTAATCAACGTTCGAACGTTTCGGACAAAAATTTTACCCGATGATTTCATAACCATTCGCGGACGTCGATTCGACCGGTAATTCATCCGACCCAAAAGTGTTCCGGATGTTGACTTTGGGCCATACAATAGATGATATTTAATCTATAGTCATACGATTTCATTAAGCATGCCGATACACGATTTGAGAAGCATTTCCGTACGTGCCATCGCGCAGACTGTTGGTAAACAACGGTACTCATGACTATCAACTATAACAGTCGTACGAGGATATGCTATTTCCATAAAAATACCCGATCGCGTACGTATACATATGTATAACTACAAACGATTGTTGGGTGTAAGCAAAATACCAAAGCGAGTGATTAAATCTCGATCGGGAAAGACGACATTAAGGCGGCAAATAATGTGCTCACTGCGATCTTGACGAGAAATGTTAACAGAATCGTAAACCTCGTTATGGTGTTAAAAATTATGTTAAACATAATTTAACACTGCACGAAATAATGTAATTCGTTAAAAAAAAATAATAATAAAAATTACACGATTTTATGGACTGAACTTGATTGCGCAACACTTGGTTTTATTTCAAGTGATTTAAATATATACGTAATTTATAGCAAGTTTCATAAGACTTTAATAAAATACTAAGTACATTTCAAGCAAATTCGTATTTGATTTTAAGTTTAAAGTGTATTTGAATGTATTCGTTTAGAAAATGCTTAAATTTCACTCTTATGTAATAATCAAGAACCGCCACAGCCCCTGATTACGTTTATCACGTTATCTTCCTTGGAAATGAAAGTTCAAAGTAAAAACTATCTACTTAAGTCTTTTTAATTTTCACGTTTTAATAATTGGTCATGGACCATTAGTAGCGGCATGAAATTTTTCCATTTCAACCTATATCAACCAACAAAATTGTACTGCACATATCATCAAATATGTATTATATAACAGCGTTCGTTATTTTATTGTATCCATCAGTCCAGGGGAACTCCACAACCGAGACATAAAGGTACCATCACCGGCAATTGATTTTGAGGCATTGACCACATGAAATACCCTATCACGCCACCATTGACTATTTTATGGCTGTTGTTATTTTGTCGTATTTTTGAAACTCGCCGTTGTTTATCATTGGATATTGAATTCCAAATCGTAAATTATATGCCTGCAGATTGAAATATTATTTTAAGATTTTTATCGAACATAGAAAACTGAACATACTATCCTATTTTAATTAATTTATATCAATTTAATGTGGAATATCTTAGTTGATTACACGACTTTTATTAGAACATATTATACGAGTTATTCTGAAGGTAGATTAATTCAAGGTTCTTTTTCCAATAAAAATATGATTTAATTTTATTGTCTTCAACTAAATAATCGTATAACTATAAAACTCAACTTGGCATATTAAGTTTTTGAATACTCGAAGTACTTAACAAAAACAGTATTGATTCTTAAACCGCAAGTTCAATACCAGTTAGCTCCTTGTATAAAAATAAAAATACTATACATTAATTACATTATAACAAAGAATTATATTATTGTTTTTAAATTTAAAATATTATACTCTAAAGAACACTATATAATACAATATTGTATTGAAATTTAGTGGGCAGTCAAGATGAATATTTACATGTTAAACCCAATTAATTTCTTAGTAAACGGTTATATTTTTCAATTAAACACTTATCTACCTATATATGTATATGTATTAATGAAAAATATGTTTAAATGCAGTATACTTTCACATAAAATAACATTAAATAATTATTGGCAAAACATTCCGATCTAATAGGATAAAAATCAATTTTTTAATTACGCTTAGGTACACGGGGTAGTCAGTGTTCTGCGGTATTTTTCCTAACCATTCTATATTAAGGCTTTTCATGGCGTCACGGTTTTGTAGGGGAAAGCAACATACCTGAGTTTTGTTTGTGTTTGGTTTTAATTGATTGCAATATTGATGTTTGGATCACTTAGGTCTTTTCCTGGTTTGTGAAGGGCTATTACTTTAGGCTTTCTCCAGATTTTGGGTACAATTTTCCTATGGAGGCGTATATTTAATAGTTGAAGTAACTATCGTCTTGCTTCTGACCAGAAATATTTAATTTGTTCTATTACAATTCTTTCAAAACCCGCCCCTTACCCATTCTTAATTTCTTTCAGGCTTGTGATAAATTAATTTATTTGAAATTCATGATGGAAGATATGGCATTCTTTTTTTTTTGTCTCTTATGATTTTTTCCCTCTTGATTCTCCTTCTTGGTTTACCATTTTTGGGTAATTCTATGGCTATATGATTAGCAGTGACATTAAGACAGGTTCTATGTACAGCTGAATCTCCATTGAGCTTTTTTATTAGGGTCCAAGCTTTCTTGCTGTTTTTGGTTACATCAGTATTTTTGTGACTCTTTCTATTTTTAAACCATATTTTATTACTAACCGGAGAGATAAATATTTGATAAATCTATTACTTTCTCTGAACATATATACATATATTGTAATAACTTGAAAATTTCAAATTTATAACATAGGTAGTTGGAAATAAATAAAATAAATTGGTCAAAATCATTATCTCACTGTATCAAAGATACGGGTAGCTCAAGAAATCATATACCTTTCGTTATATTTTTTAATAACTGAAAACTGCAACCAAGTATTTAAACCTGGTATCAAAATAAATGTGCATGTTTAAAAAAAATAGACAGTATAATGAAAATTAAATAACTGAAGATAAAATATTCATTCGTTATTATAACTATTCACATTTAATAAACGCAATGATACATTTAGAACCAAATTCGTTTTATAATTGATTTCTAAAACACCGTGTTGACTCTAATTATTGATAACAGTCCGCACATAATAATTTATTATAATTATTCATGTATAATATAGTTTTTTTTTTTCTTACTTGGTAACAAATCAAGAATAACTTTTTATACTTAAATAAAACTAAAACTTTTTTAAAGGGATAAAAAATTAATTAATAATTCATACCTCATAATTGTGTTTTAAAATTTAAAAAAAAATTAAATATCAATGCTTTTTTAAGTAAAAATAATTATGTAAACTATTTACGAGTATAATATTTTTTAACTGAAAATATATATCTATTATTATAACTATTATTATTATTATTATTATTATTATAATTATTATAATTATTATTATTATTATTATTATTATTATTATTATTATTATTATTAT